TATTATCAGGAACAAAAACTACAAAGAAAAAAATTGCTTCAGAAAGTCTGATCCCAAGCTTCTCATGTACTTGGGTGTTTCCCAGAGATGGTAAACTCAGAAATTGCTGTGCACTCATCATTTTTTATTGCAAAATTCATTAAGCTGCCATTCTATTATCATCCTATCTTGTCAGGATGATACATTACAGACTTCATTGCAAAACTTTAATAAGCAGGAGAAAGTACACCTCTCTCCCTACCACAGCAAGGGAAAGCCTCTGGGTATTTTGCTTTTGTCTTAATATTTTTTGTTGAAAGCCTGTGTCTTTGCAGAACTTCCATCAGTCTGGTAACTCCCTTTCCTCCCTGTTTGATCATGTAGAGAGCACATTCCCTCCTTAGGGCTCTGTGAGGCATCATGAGCTACTGTTTAAGAACATTTCTTCTTCCCTTTTCTTGACAGCTAGTCTCAGACATCATGGAAAGATGATGTTAGCCCGTATTCTGACAGACGTCCATGCGTGGTGGGAAACCTCCCCCAAAGTGACGTGGCAAGTCTGTGTTTCCTATTTATCCTCCCACTCTGTGTATTCAGTGGGCCAGAGCGTTGAGGCTTGCCGAGACATGTGAATTCAGTTTGGTTTTGCATGTGCATTCCTGGCCCTGCTTCTGGGTTCTGTGATAAACAGAGACCCTGCCTTTTGTATGGGGGGTGTGGGGATGGGGAGGGATTGTCATTAGAGTGAGCAGGAGTCACTTGGTAAATATGGAAAGTGAAGTTGCTTAGCTCCCAGATTTCCATGGCAACCCCCAGAACAAGTACAATATCACCAAAATTATTCTGTGGCTTTCTTTTTTTAGTTGCAGTGATTTGGTTGCATAGACATATTTTTCCACTCCTGATTTGTACAAAAAACACAGACTCTGTCCACTGTAACCATTACTTTGGTTTCAAGGATATTAGTGGTCCCTGTATGAAGCACCTGGAAAATTCAGTCACTTGGAACTGCCTCTTTCTGTGCTAGCAGAATACATTTTCACTGCTTATTATCACCTAATATTTATTATTTGTCTTGTAACCATTCATGGAGCTTTAGTGTATATTATGCCCGGGCCCGGTGCCAGGAACGTGTGACTGATGCTGACCTCTCAGGTCACTGTAACAGATGCTCGAGGGGTTCTATATGGGCATACGTGCCCCTGCCCCGAGTAGTTTGCATTTCTCAGCACTAGGACCACGTCTAGTTTATCACTCTTCATAGAAACTACGTTCATGAAAACATTCATCACCTACCCATACATGTTTACATTTGTTAGGGGATTTATTTTATCATTTCCTTGCTCCGAGCTCTTGTCTTCTGTGACTAAAACGAAGAGAGATTCTTGTTGACAAACATGTTTGAAGAAGGCAAGCATCCCCACTGACTTCATCCAGTTTAGGAGTACTCCTGAGTTGTAGGCATTCTTTCTCTTTTGGTCATTTAAGTGGTTCTCCATGATCCTTTTGCTTTGACTCATAGCTGCTGTTGTTTTTCTTTTTCAGTCCCCTCCCTAGCCTATAATTTCCTTTTCTTCAGCAGTGTAATTGCCATCAGTCTTTCTTATACCTTGTGATGAGGATGCCAGAGCTAGTTTGAATCATCAATGTCTCAAAGAAGTCCAGGTCTGGTATTGGAAAGATTTGGTTAATTTAAATTTTTTTTTAAATAGTGTTTTAGGCTGCCTGTTCTCATTATGTTTTCTGTTAGGGGAAGTACTCATTTGCCCACCTGACAAAGATCCCCCTGTTTGGAGTGACATTACTGAATCATGTTCTCTTTTTTTCTTAATTCATGCCAAATGCTTTAGAATTTGTCTCGGTATAGTTTGCCATACCACTAAAACATTTGAATTGCTGTTGATTTTACTCTCTACGTCTTCTCTGGAATGATTCTCACTGTCCTGCTCACCCTCAATAGGGATTGTCAGCATTTCAGCTCAGAGGCCTATCCACCTTAGACGTTCTCAGTCTCACTATTTGAGGTCTCATGTCCAATAAAACTGTAGCGATCTTATAGTCCGAGAGTGCCAGGTTTCCAGAATTCCTTATCATGTGGCCCATTGAGGCATACTGGTAAAGAGTCTGACTCTTTAGATGCGTATTTGGCTATCTTGACTGCAAAACTATGAAATTTTATGATTAATTTTTTTATGTATTTTCTTTTTGAACAAAGGACACTTTTTCTTGATCTTTTGCTTTTGTTGTCATTTTGTTAGAGGTTTTGCCATATGTGTAAGGCTCGCAGTACCTAAATATAAGTCAAAATAGAATCTCAAAAAGGATTTACTTCCTAAAAAAGAGTTCTAGTGACCTCCACTGAATGAAATACTAGAAATCCTTGACTTCAGTTTGGGGGTTGCCACCCATTTAATTTTTGTGGCTTTTCTAGGCCAGGCAGGTTGGATTCTCATTGTCCACCCCATCCTCATTCTCGTGTGGGTTCATCTAAGACAAATGTCAGTTTCCATATGCAGCAGTGTTCCTTGCTTAGCTCATGGAGAAAGCCAGTCTGTAATACTGTAACAGAAGATAAGTTCTTAAAAATTTTACCCAAATCCCATTTATAGAATCAGATTCTCATATGAGGTTAGGATTGATAAAGTGTTATATAAAAGAAAACATCTTTATCTGTTTTTTTTTTTTCAGTTGTGATTTCAAAGCTTTATCTGTCACACGTTCAGTCTTAGGTTGCTCCTAGTCTACTGAGGAAGGTAGACATATGAACAAATAAGTATGTGCAAGTTACTAATAAATATTCTAGTTTACATCTGAATAAAATACCTAGGGGTGTTCATTATCTAGGAATGTGTTTGGTACTCAGTAAGTATTCACTGAATAGATGAAAATTGAAGAAAATTCCATCTCAGATACTCTTTTTCTAATGGACAGTAAGGCAGGAAAAAGAGTCCCAATAATATTTTAGAAAAACTAATATGTTTTTAGCAAGGTATTGTTTTTAATTTATAGACTCATAGTCCTCTTAAGGGCAAGTAAATATAATCACAGGAGAAATATGAGCTGTGTTATACTCTTTGGTTTCCTGTGAATCCAGAGAATTACATCATGCAAAGTTGGCCTCAAACTAGAGTTTGTAAAACTATTCACCTCTCCTTCCCTGTGAAGCAGAAATTGTCTTCATTGAACCCCTGAGAAGTGTGTTGAGTGCCCTCTTCTATATGGTGGTCTTGGGTTTCTCAGTCTTTTTCAGAAATCTCGACATGAGTATTTTGTGCAAAGGAAAGTTTGCACTGATTCATACTGGTAGGTGGCATATCCATTTTCTCAGTGATCCCCTAATTATGTAATTTTAGAGTTATTTTTCTTCCTGATAGCAAGTTCCCATTCAAAGTCCCTGTTAGTTCTCCTACATCTGGGTGCATTGTAACTCTTTTGGTTTCTCTTTCTTTGTTGTTGTTTCTGTTTGGAACTTAAGCTCTTGAGATATGAATAGTTTCAAATCTCAGGAATCAAGTTAATAATCTACTTTTTTCAAAATCTACTTAGAGTTCAGAAATCTCCCCATAGCCTCATGGAGTTTTTGACTCTTCTGCAGGGTTTTAAACATGGCATTGAGAATTTGTCAAGATATTAGGGGTGTTTGGATGTGTGTGTGTGTGTGTGTGTGTGTGTGTGTGTGTGAATGAATGTGTGTGTATTAAATGTAAAGATTACTCTAACATCATCTCATAAGCATGATAAATTTTTATGCACATGACTATTATAAATGGAAAAGTATTTTTTTTTATCACATCACCCCCTGTATTGCTTGAAGAGTTCAAATGTCAGCCTCTAAACTACCGTGTCAGTGAGTCCAATCCGTCTTCTTAGGGACGTGGTATACCTCCAGCTTGTTTCAAAGGTCCAGTGAGGATTAATCCACATAGGCTGTTTCCTGTTAAGTGAATTGACTGCCCACAGCATCAGCTGATTTTATTATGGTGTATCTGTACTGAATGTGGGATGAGAATGACATTCCAGGACGCTGATATTTTGCTACAGCAGTGGTGCCTGTGCCATTTAGCTAATTTATCCCAGAAATGTTTTCTTCAGCACATGGTTCCAAGTTTTTAAAGATGGGAAGAAACAGAAAGTTCTTATCTTTGAACAGTGTTCTGAAGTTTACAAAATGCATTCTTGCATATGATCCCACTTGATCCTTATGAACTCCTTGAGCTGTGCATGGCAGTTTTCATTATCCCCATTTTACAGATGCATTAGCCAAGAAACAGAGTGAAAATTGCCTGAGGCCACTCAGCCAGGCAGGGGTGGAGTCTTGAATAGAACTCAGGTTTCCTCCCTCTGGGATTAGTAATACTCTCCAAGCACTAATATGACTGTGTGGACCATGGACTTGGTTTTTTATAAGCAGACGACTCTGTAGCCCTTATAGATCTATTAATTAAAGAACTGACTTGAAGCTAGACATCAAATACATGGAGCTGGAGGCAACCCAGGAGGGTTTGTCTTGGGAGTGGTCAGGAACGTAGACTGCAGAGTCATAAGGATGTTGATGACCAAGTAAGTAGTAGATATTTTATGGTGAGGTGCTATAGAATTGGAGCTAGGACATGGCCCTGGCAGTTAAGACCATACTGGGGGCGGGAGTTTTAGAATAAAAGGTGAATGTCACAGAAACCAAGAGGACCTGGTTGAATACAAGGGTGCTATGGAGGCCGCTCTGTGTTCTGCCCATCTACCAGTCAAAAGAAGACACACAATTTATGGTGCAATGGTAGGGTCACTCTTAGGAAAATGGCTGGTCTGTCCTATCAGGTTGAGCAGAGGGGGGTTTTCTCCAAAGTCACAAGTCACCTGTTCCTCTTCCTTTCCCACCTGTATATCTTATCCTTTCCTATGTCTTCTGAGCTTTGCTGAGGTCTCAATCCATTCTCATTATTGGTAAGTTTTTGTATATGTCGAAACAAACTATCCTTATGAAATAGTAGTAATATGGGGTTTGTGGCCTTGTTTTTCTCCAGAGGAACAAAGAAACAGCATCATCAACTCCAGTTTGGAATCTGTCGTCTCATCAAATGCAAATAGCATCCTTAATTCCAGCAGCAGCTTGCAGCCCAACATGAACTCCAGTGACCCGGACCTGGATGTGCTCAAACCCACCCGGCCCAACTCACTGTAAGTATGATGTCGAACTGCCTTCCACAGTAGGCCGTTGCTCAGCCATCCCACCCGGAATTTATGCTCTGGCCCCATCTGGCTTTGAGCATTGTCCCATGAACATGATTTTAACCTTCTTTCTAAATGTGGAGCTTGGCTAGTTTTTGTGGATTTTTTGAGCATCATCATCTCAGAGGGGAATCATTATTCTTAACATACTGCTTCTTGGCCTTGGTGATCTTTGATGTACCCTCCTACTGAGATGGCTTTGGTGATGGCTATTGACTGTGCTGGCTGCTGGGCATGAAAAGCGATTTCTTTTAGTTTTATAAAACATCCAGACACTGTAGCAACTCAGTAGATCCGTAGCCAAGTCTGTTTCATTCATTTATGTTGTCCTGGTTTCCTTTCTCCCTGATGGTGTGGAATATGTCCAGTGCTACCTCTGTGTCCACTTCTAGAAAGAAAAGCCCTCCAGTAGCCCTTTCAGTGTTGAGATCCCCAACCCTTAGCATGACTGTGATGACATACCAGAGACTAGGAAAGAAAAGAACCTTTGTTGCTTCACCCTTGAGTGGTAAGCACCCATAACCTAGACAGGCAGTTTTAGGGCTGCTTGTCCGGTCCTCCACAGAAACTAGATATCCACTGTGCTAGGGCCAGAAAGTCCTCCCTTGTGGTTTCCTCCCACACTGCTTAGCGTGCTTCTTCAGACCACCGCATATATCTTGTCAACTAGAGCCTCTGCAGAAAGTATGTGAGGCCATGACCAGAACAGCTGGACTCTCAGGCTGCAGTTGGATAAAACTCGGGAAGAAGAGAGTCGACTTTGCCTTTCTCTAGTGAAAACAGTTCGAGGTTCAGCCACAGATTGTCTTCAGGGCAGTCGTTGCACCTGGTGAGACACCAGGATATCAGAACCTTTTCCTGCCCATCTCCGGGCCATGGTTACACAGTCACACCCAGCCATTCTATCTCTTTAAGATATTTGTGGATCTGCAAAACAGGACCAACAATTTTTGCCTTAGAAGAGACTAAGGGATATTAAGGCTCAGGGGGGAGAAAACTCTAAAATGGACTTAAGGAATACTTTTACTGCAAACAAAACAGCGTAAAATGAAATCATGTACTGAGAAAACTCGTTCCGCTTATGGGCAGTGAGACTCTTCTGCTTCTCCATGGCCAGACTTGCCTGTGGAGTCTCCATCCCTGGCTGCCTGGCTTGTTAAGCACTCCTATACCTGCTTTCCTAGACTTGAAGGAGATTCTGGTTTCTTTTTTATCTCTTTTTTTTATCCCCCATTTTGTTCAAACTTCTGTACCTGTCAGTTACTGATGTTATTTGTTGCTCAGCATGAGCAAGGTTGAATTTCTAGCCCAGGTTGCTTACTATCCCTGATCTTAGCCAGCAGTATCATTTAATGGTCTTTAATCTTTGTGGGTTTTTTTTTTTAAGATTTTATTTTTTTATTTTAGAGCGAAGAAGTGAGCAAGAGAGAGAGAAAGAGCATGGGGAGGGGCAGAGGGAGAGGGAGATGCAGGCTCCCCGCTGAGCAAGGAGCCCAACATGGGGCTCAATCCCAGGCCCCTGGGATCATGACCCCAGCCGAAGGCAGACACTTAACCGAGCCACCCAGGCATCCCTCTCTAATCTTTGTTTTTAGCAGCTGGGAGCCCCCTGAGTCACCACTGAGTATGGTGTGTCTAAAAAGGCTGCTTCAGTGGCTAAGTGGTAAAAAGGGGGCAATGTCTTTTAAACAGGTCCTAGAGGAGGGGACTTGAGATTTTTATTTTTCAATTGTCTAGATGTGATTTGTTTTACATAAAACACTGGGGGTCACTTGGCCCACTTTACACCATCCATGGGGACCGTTGCTTGCCTGCTACAGAATTTGGGGGCTTTCCCAGGTCAGGAAGAGTGATGTCAGGAACAGTTGTACTTTGACTTTCAAGGAAAGTTGGAGGTAGGATTGTGGATGTTGCCAACAAGTCTGCTGCCCTTCCAGGCTGAGGGAACACCTGCCTGGAGCCTGTGAGTCTTGGGCTGCAGGCTGTTCCTGAGGCAGAGGCAGTGCAGCTGCCCATGCTGACTGCAGAGTTTGCTGCGGCCGCCCTGAGGCCCACCCCGAGGGCCCCTCGAGCTCTGCAGGAGCTTCACCGCCCGTTTTGGAAACCCAGGGCCGTGAATATGCCATATCCGAGTTTGGGCCTCCCTCGTTTTTTCTGCCTGCAGTTTTTTTGGGTGGGCCATAGACAGAAGCTAGGTGATCCTGGCAAATAGAAGCCACAGTACTTTCCTGGAGAAAACCAATTCTGAGAAGTCTGTCAGCACAGTATGCCGTGGAGATTGGGTTCAGTCACAACCACGGAGACCACTGGCCCCAGCCTCAGTTCGGGACCCTTTCATTCCCTCCATCATTGTTCACTTTGAAGTACACAGAGATCCTTGAATGGGAACACTTAATGATGCGGATGAAAACAGAAAACAAAATCAGAGGGTGGGGGATTACCATTACTTGGATTATTAATTAGGCATGAGGTGGGGAGCCAGTCACCAGAAACTGTCCATTCTCCTTATTATTTCATTCATTTGTTTTTCATTGTTTTCATAAGGACTGGAACGGTCATTATGACCATATAACCATCATAATGAAAGGAACATGCTTTATGACTCAGCATCCTTTAGTACTTTAGAGACCACATTTTGCTGTCTCATTGGTAAATCTTTCCTAATTCTCTAAGGAGATCAGGGCCCTCTTGTTTGTGTGGGCATAACGCTAAGTTGGGCATCAAAATTAGAGATGCACCATTCTGGCCATGTCAGGGCAAGGCTTCAGGGTTTACACCTTTGGCAGGTCCTCAGCTGGACTTCCTAAAGCGTAGCCATCCCTCTTGAAGATCAAAGGACACTTGGTAAGTCAGGACCAAAGTCCAGGGAGTCTAAAATTGTCAGCAACTATTGCTGACATATTTTGTGCCCAGACCTCTGCTAAGCTACCAGGGGTAAATGAGAACAGGAGGATTTCTGGCCTCATCAAGAGTTTACAGTCTGGCTGAGGAGGAAGGACAGTGGTATATGGCAGTGCTAAATGGGATTTATAGCTCATAAATGGTTTTAGAGTTCACCAACTGTTAACTGATCGTGTTGAGTACCAGTCAGAATATTGGAAAAAGTGGATAGTGAAAGTGTGAGGTTGGTGTTAAGTAAGATTAAAAAGATTAATATGGATGGATGAAGTTCACTGCAGGTAAGGGGGATGAGGGAGGCAAAGATGATCCAGGATGGAGAAAAACAGCCTACAGACATGTGTGTTGGTAGAGGGGGAGTTTCCTTCCTCCCCTACCACTACCACCAAAAAAAAATTAATAACAAACCAACATTTATTTATTTGTTTATTCATTTATTTAAGCATTAAATTATTTCTCTTGGGGTTGTGAGTTCAAGCCCAACTGAGTCAGCTAGGTGCCCCCCCCCCACTTTTAAAGTATAAACCAACCTTTTGTGCTGGAACAACTAGACATTTACATGCAAATAAAAATCTAGATATAGATTTGACACCTTTCCAAAAATCAACTCAAATTGGATCCTAGACTGGGCGCCTGGGTGGCTCAGTTGGTTAAGCAACTGCCTTCAGCTCAGGTCATGATCCTGGAGACCCGGGATCGAGTCCCGCATCGGGCTCCCTGCTCAGCGGGGAGTCTGCTTCTCCCTCTGACCCTCTTCCCTCTCATTCTCTCTCTCTCAAATAAATAAATAAAATCGTTAAAAAAAATGGATCCTAGACTGAAATGTAAAATGCAAAACTGAAATTTCTAGATGACATAAGAGAAAATCTAGGTGACCTTGGGTTTGGTAATGACTAGGTATATGATCCATGAAAGAAAAAATTTGTAAGTTGAACTTCATTAAGGTTAAAAACTTGTGCTCTATGAAAGACACTATTAAGAGAAAGAAAAGCCAAGCCTGGAGTAGGAGAAAATATTTACAAAACACATATCTGATAAAAGATCAGTATCCAAAATATACAAAGAACTCTTAAAATCCAATAATATGTAAACAACCCAATTAAAAACTGGGGAAAAGATCTGGGCAGTCACCTCACCAAGGAAGACATTTAGATGCAAATAAACATATGAAAAGATGCTCAACATCTTATGTCATTAGGGAATTGCAAATTAAAACAATGAGATATCTGTGCACCTATTAGAATGCCTAAAATCAAAAACAGTGACGACACCAAGTGCTATGAGGGTGTGGAGCAACAGGAACTCTCATGCATTGCTGGTGGGAATGCAAAACGAGACACCCCTTTTGAAAGACAATTAGACACTTTCCTACGAAGCTAAACATAGATTTCTCATACAACACAGTCCAGCAGTCATACTCATAGGTGTTCACTCAAATGAATTGAAAACTTAAGTTCACACAAAAATCTGCCCACAGATATTTATAGCAGCTTTATTTGTTATTGCCAAAGCTTGGAAGCAAACAAGATGTTCCTCAGTAGGTGAATGGATAAACAAACTGTGGTACATCCAGACAATGGAATATAATCCAGTGATAGAAGAGAGCTATGAAGTCAGGCAAAGACCTGAATGAGGCTTGAGTTCAGATTACTAAGTGAAAGAAGGCACTGTGAAAATGCCGTAGTGTGTGGTATGATACCAACTATATGACATTCCGGAAAAGACAAAACTATAGAGTCAGTAAAAAGATGAGTGGGGAGGAAGGGTGAAAAGGTGGAACACTGGGCATTTTTAGGGCAGCGATACCACTCTGTATGATACTGTATAATAGTAGATGCCAGATATTGTGCATTTGTCCAAAGCTATAAAACCAATAGAACACAGAGTGAATCCTAATGTAACTAATGTTATTAGTTAATGTAATTAATATTACTAATAAATGTCCCTCACTCATGAAAGATGTTAATTACAGGGGAAGTTAGGCAGTAGGGAGAGGTTATGTGGAAACTCTGAGTTATTTTGAGCAATTTTTCTGTAAACCTAAAACTGCT